TTCAATCAGAAACTTTTATTTTGTGAATTATTGAACAAAAATCTTATAAAAAATAGTATTAAATAACAAAAATATTAATAACAATAATTGTTATATATTACAATTTTATAGTAGATTAAAATTAGAAAAGTATAATTTAAATACAACTAAATACTGAAATAAAAAACAAAAAAACTAATAAAACAACAAAAGATGACAACAATAAGAAAGTTCAAATGTAGAGATATATTAGAATATTCAAATGTTAATCTTGACTATTATACAGAAACTTTTCATTTTCCATTTTATTTTGAATATCTTTCTAAATGGCCAGAGATGTGTTTTATTGCAAGAGATTGTAATGGAAGAGTAGAAGGATATCATTTTGGAAAAATAGAAGGAGAAGGAGAAAAATATCATGGACATCTTACAGCTATTACAATTGCAAGAGAGTTTAGAAGAATTGGGCTAAGTAACCAATTGATGTTTTGGTTAAAACAAATTAGTGAAGAGTTTGTTTTGATTGAATAATAACAAATACATTTATTTGAAGAATCAGAAAAGTATTTAAAAAAATTAGGGCAAACTGTTATTATGTTGATTTATTTGTAAGAAAAAGTAATGAAACGGCGATTGGAATGTATCACAGATTAGGTTATTCTGTGTATAGAGAAATATTAGAATATTATAGCAGTAATAATGAAAGTGCCTATGATATGAGAACTTCTCTACCTCGAGACGTAGACAAAAAATCAATTATTCCATTACCTAAACCAATTTATGCTGATGAGGCAGATGACCTTTAAACCAACAACCAAACTCATTGAAAGAAATTGATTAAATTATTTTCTTCGTTGTGTTAACTTTTTAATTTAATGCAACAGAGTCTTCAAGTGTTCCTTCGTCATTTTTATTTTCAACAACTAGTTCATCATCATCGTCATATGTTTCAACCTTGAATTCTGTATCTAATTTAGCAATATTAACACCATTAGTATTAGAACCTTGTTTTTGTAATGATGGTAAATTAAGAACTGCAACAAAGAAACAATATAAGTTGACATATGCTAATAATCCAATAAACATGTTTGAAACCAAATATCCAGAGAAATAAACACCAACATAAACAGCCATTAATAAGAAAATACATCCAAAAGTAACAATACCAAAAATAACAACTCTATTTTTGTTACTACCACTCATCTTTCTTCTTTCACTGAATGACCTAATAACTTCAAATAATAACCAGAATAAATAAATAACAATACTCAACAAAAACATGACACTAAAGAAAATAGTTAAAGCATTTGAATGGAATTTACTATTTGACTGAATGGTCATACGAATAGAAAGAATACTTCCAAATGCTGAACATGAAATAATAATTGCCATAATAGCACGAACAATTAATGGGATAAATCCTTTAGCTCGTTCTGGTCTTCTAACTGAATTAAAAACTGCTAATATATAAAACATTAAATATCCAGTGAAGAAACTTTCAAAGAATGAATCTACCATTAAAAAGAATGATGCTCCTGTAATATGTTCTAATAAACAGAATGGATTATTGAAGAGAATTAATCCATAAATCAGTAAAGCAGTTAAATGTTGTTCTAATGCCCAATTGAAAACTGAATATAATCGAAGGAACCAGAAGAATAAACATAATAAAACACAGTTACCAAAGGCTAAACAAATTCTCCAATATATTTCAAATACTGTTGATGATGAGTTTGATGTTTGAATTGTTCCATAGAATTCAGCTTGATCCATTTTTTCTAATGAACTAGATGATAATGAAAAGATATCAAATCGTTCATATGTTAATGTACCAAATCGTTTAAATACACTAAAATCAACCTTACAAAACTCATTTCCATTAGTACATTCAACATTAATATTTTGTGCAACTTCTCTAACATAATTAACAGTTGAAACAAGTTTAATATCATTAAATGGTTGGAATGAATATTCTAAGTTTAATTTAACTAATAATGAGTAATCATATTATCACCAGTACTTTAAATTTCAATCTTACAATTAAAGATTTTCTTAAATGAAAAGAAAAGAATTGACTATATCAAAACGAAAACAAACAACTAAAAGAAGGCATGTTAGAACTTGTAAAAACATTCTTAAGTAATAGTCCAAATGTTACATCTTTATTTAATGTTGCAAATGGTCCAACAACAATAGAAGTAGAAATATTTTTATCTGTAGATGGTGAAGTTAATGTAGAGTAAGAATCCCATCCTTTACAGATATTAGGATTAAAAGTTTGTGTTGATTGTGAACATTCCCATAATCCAACTTTTGTTTGAATATATGGTTTTGGTGATATAATAGCAATAATAGTAATTGCACCAGTAATTAATATAAATATCATTGCAATTGCAAGAATTCCTTTCAGTGAAATTGTATTCATCAAAATTCCAAGTTTCTTTTTTTCAGGTTGTGTTATTTCCATCTTTTGAATTGAATCTTTATTTTTAGTTCTTGTTTCTTTTTTTCTTTATTATTTTTAAATAATTTTAGTTTTTACAAAATATTTAAATTCATAATTTAATGAAAAAAATACTAATTCTTAAAAAAATAAATTTTTATTTTTCAGTACATTCATACTTTTTTCTACATTAGATATGAACAAATCAAAATCAAACTCTTCAATTTGGTTTTATTTTATTCGTTTAATTTAAAATTTTTCAAACATTTTAATATAAATTATTCATTAAATTTTCTTTAAATTATTAAGAATTTCATTATAATATAAGATAAACATATTATTTGAGAAGAATAGATTTAGTTTTGTTATTATTGAAACAAACAGTTATTCTATTTTTACTCAAAATAATAATAATTATTTTCTAATATCAAATTACTATATCTAATGATATTGTTCTTTATTCTAATATTCATTCTTTAAAACATTTCTTTTTAATTACAAGTTATTGGTTCTTGTATATTAAATAACATTTATATCTTTATATTCAAATTCAATATTTGAGAAAAACTAAAGAAATTGAATAAGTATAAAACTTTTATGTAACTATTTCCCTTTGTACTAAACTGTAAGAAGCACTAATTTATAGTAAAAAATTATATTAAAAAAGAATAAAGAAAGAATCAATTAAATTAAGAAGAAAAGAATTATTGAAAAAACCAACAATATTGAAATTAAACAAGAATTATTCCCTTGTTCATTATTTTGATTAATACATTTTCCATTAATTAAAGAATAATCAATTGAATCACAATCTAAACAATGAGTAGTATTACAATGAATACAATGATCAAATATTTTCTTACAACTAATACACTTTGATTCAATAACAATTTTATTATTATCACAAGTTAAACAATTATTTATATCACATGAAAGACAATCTTTTCCATAAATATCATCACAACTTTGACACTTATTGTTTTTAAATAATAAATTATTATAACATTTAGTACATATTCCTTCTCCACATTCTAAACATTTACTATCTAAATCAAAACATTTCATACATCCATGTCTTCCTATTTTTAATCCATATTCTATTTTACATTTTTTACATTCTATTCCATCACAATCTGAACAATTTTCATCATATGCTTCTTCACATGTTTTACATGAACCATTATTATAATATCTTAATGTTCCATTAATACTTGAACAAAGTGTACAATTATTTGCATTACATTCTAAACATCCATTATCATTAAATGCTTCTTTACATGTTAAACAATTATTATTGTGATAAACTCTAATTTCATTATCTATACTATTACATTTAGTACACGTCTGATTATTACATTGAATACAATCATTTGTAAATATAGAACAGTCGATACACTTATCCTTTTTCATTGATAATCCATAACCATTTGGACATTCATAACATTCATCTAAATCACAATTTATACATCCTTTAAATTTATTATTACAATCTTCAGATTTAATAGGAAATGTTGCAATTATAATATGTAATTGATTAGTATCATTTATACATCTTTTTAATGCATAACTTTCTTGAATAATTATATTACCTTTACAATCAGAATTATCATATTTTGTTTCAATTAAATTAAATTCATTGATAGTATATGTAGATTTAAATTGACATTTATTTATATCAGGTAATACATATCTAATTAAACTTGCTTCTTCTATTTTATTAATTCCACACTCTTTATAATCATTTTCAAAATAACTAATAATTGCAAAATCATCATTAATATTAAACTTAGTATAACTATATTGATCTGGTGAAAATTCACTAATACTATATGTTCCATTACAATTATTTGTTGAACTATATTCTTTTAAAAATATATAATTTTTATCTCCATAAATTCCAGGAATAAATAGTAATGAAGATGAATTTGTTATTTGAAAACATTTATTTGGTATAACTCTTAAATATGAATTTGTAAATTTTAAATATATTGGTGTTGAGTCTGATATTCTATTATCAAGAACTGAAATTTTATATATTCTAGAATTAATTTCAATTGTTTCATTTTTTGATTCAATTTCAATAGAAAAAGATGAATAATCATCTTTTGGACATTCATTTTCATTAACAAAATTAGACATTAATTGAAGTTCCATTCCAATAGTTCTAAATATTTTTCCATTTTCACAATAATTTGTAAATTTAACTTGTTGACTAAAATAAGGAGAATAATAAAAATGAAAATGTTCATTACCAATAGCTAAAATATTTGTTTTTGTTTCTTTTTTAAGAAGAGGAAAATCAATGTCTTCAATAAATAGATTATTCATAGTATTAAATTTATATGATTTACATAAATCTTTTGAAATACATTCAAAAATATATTCATTTTCTGAATTCATTGATTCAAAATAATCATTAATTAATACTTCTCTATACATTTGTTCATTTCCAAAATACAATGTTTGTATTTCATTCATTTTTATATTTTTTTCTATATAAAATATTCCATTATTTAAAATATATCCATTTCTATATATTTCAATAATAATATCTTTTGTTTTAATTGAAGAATTTTCATTTTCATTTAAATAAAGATGTTTTGTAACTGTACATTGATTAGTAATCCATTGAATATTATCAATACGTTTAGAGATGAAATATTCTCTTAAAGTATGAATATTATTATCATTTATTTCTTTATATCCTACTGAAAAAATAAAATTAGAAATACTATTATCATTAATTTCTTTATTTTGATAATATTGTATTTTAGTATTATTATTACAATCTACAAGATAATATTTATTATCATTTACTATAATTTTTTGGTTTGTTGAACCTCTTTGATAACAAATTTCATTATTTGTTAATTGATTAATAGAAGATTTTCTATATGAAAGATAAGACACACAGTTGTTTGAATCAGAATATTTACAAAGATAAATAATTGGTGAATGATTAATATTTTTAATTACTTTAATAGAACAAATAAAGTCTTGTTGATATTCTGAAATAACATAAATATTTTGTATTGGATTATTTGAGAAAATACAATTAGTAAATAAATCTGTTCCAGTATAATATATTGATTTAAGTTTATTACATTCATTAAAAGGAATATTATTATTTGAAGATGATAATATTGATTGAAAAATAATTGAAGTTAATGAAGTACATTTTTCAAATGAATTATTTGATAAAGAAATAAGAGTAGAAGGAAATGTAATATTAATAAGAGAAGTACATTTTTCAAAAGCTTTTTCTTTAATAGAATTAATTAATGTATTATGAAGATTAATCGTTGTTAATGAAGTACATCCAGAAAATGCACTTTCTTTAATTTCATGTAAAGTATATGGAAGAATAACATTTATTAAATTAGAACATCCATTAAAAGTATCTTCATAAATTGTTTCAATTGAAAATGTTGATAAATCTATTGATTTTAATTTATTACATCCAATAAAAACTTCATTACCTAATTCTTTAATTTCTGCATTATTAAAATTTATTGAAACTAATGATTTACAATTAGAAAATGCTTGATAATCAATTCTATAAACACTGTTTGGAATATTTATATTTTGTAAGTTATTACAATTTGAAAATGCATTAAGACAAATTATTTTTATACTTGTTGGTATTTCAATACTCTTTATTAATGAATTACTAAATGCATTCCATCCAATTATTTCTACTCTTTTTTCTTCATTGGAATTTGGATCTATTCCACTTGTTGGTATTTTGATATCTCCACTACATTCACTTGTATTTGAACTTATAACCATAAGTCCATTTAATCCATATCTACTTGCACTAGTAAAATTTAATTCACATTTACCAAAACAATTATATATGAAGAAATATAAAATAATGAACATAAAATTAATCAATTCTTTTTTCAGTTTTCTTTTTTCTTTTATTAGTTTTATAATGTTTTTATATTAAATTCTGTCTTTAAATTCGTTTTTTTTATTAATTCTATCTTCATAAACCTTTACTTTTCGTATATTTAATGATTAAGAAAAAGGAATATTTCATTCAAAACCTTTTTAAGTAAAAAAAATTAATTTAATTTTTTTTATTCTTTTTCTTTTGTTTTTATTTGTAAATTTAGAAAACAAAGATGTAATTTTCTCAATACTTCTTTTTCCTTTTCTTATTATTAAAATAAACTCTATTATATTAATGGAGTTTATTTCTTAACAATATAAAAAGTATAAAACTTTATTATCTTTTCAAACATAATAATATTAATCGAAAATAAATTAAATAGCAATGAGCTATTTCTAAGATAGAAAATATTTATATTTTAATTGTTCTGAGCAAAATATTAATTATTATTTTTTATATCAAAGATATTTTACTTCTTATTTTTCTGTTAAGTTTAATTATGTTTTTAACCCTTTCTTTTTATTATTAATATTCTTTTGCTTTTATTAAGTATTTTTATCTAAAACACTAACTATCATTCATTGCTTTGTATTTCTTGTTAATAAATTATTCCATTAGATTTTTCTTGGCTTACACTAATCAAACAATTTTTATATGTCTTGTATTAATTAAGAATTAAGAACTACTTAAACTGTTCTTTTCTTTGAACTTTTTTTACTCTATACGGCTATGATTAATAATCACTTTTATAACTAACTATATCATTCTAATAAGAGTAAAATGAATAAAATTTCCTCAGTACCAATCTAACTCATAAAATAAACATAACAACAAGTAAACAATTACTCAAAACCAAAACCCATTTTCTAATAATACACAAAAATGTAATTATTATATTACTTGGT